TTCCATCGCTTTCGGCAGTTTTCCTCTGTAAAGTAAAAATATAGTATTCGTCACAATTATTCGTCACAAATTTGTTATAATTTGGTTCGTCCTATTACAAAACTGCTATATGTTTGAAAAACTCTATACTAACCAGGATGTCCCACAGCAGCAGCTACATTTCGCCAAGCCAAATCTTTCTTCACCCGATCGCGGTAACTAAGCTGTCGTTTGTCCCACAAGCAGTTGTGTTTTTCAATCTCTGCTATAAGTTTTTCTTCGAACATCTTGCACTAAAGCTTCCGATATACCAACCAACACACAAGAATCGGATAATACAGCAGCCGGAACGATAAAAAAGTAAGGTATCTGTAAAAAATATTGTTGTTAGCAACAAATAATATTATTAATAACAAATAATTGTTTAATATAAACTCTTTTACCTCCAGTTGAATATTACGCCTTATAAACACGGGTGGAAGTGGCACAGGCAAATGAAACTTTATGAAAACCAACGAATCTGGTGGCCGGAACGATAAAAAGCAAGGTATCTGAAAAAAATAATGTTGTTAGCAACAAATAATTGTTTAATATAAACTCTTTTACCTCCAGTTGAATATTACGCCTTATAAACACGGGTGGAAGTGGCACAGGCAAATGAAACTTTATGAAAACCAACGAATCTGGTGGCCGGAACGATAAAAAGCAAGGTATCTGAAAAAATAATGTTGTTAGCAACAAATAATTGTTTAATATAAATTATTTTACCTAAAATTGATGAAGAACGCGATAAAAACTGCACACAAGCAAAATCGACGCGAAAAATTGAAATGTCAAGAGTTGTCAAAAGCCTACAGCGCGCTGTCAAATAGAGATTTCGGCTAATCGATACTTTAAAGCGCTTCAAGCAAGTGAAGTAAAGCTGCCACTAGGCCAACTTTCATACATTTTAGTAGATTTTAAAAATTGTTTGACAGTTCTCAAAGCCAAGCAAGCAAAGCAAGCGTGCATTGGGCCAATACCTTAACGATAGTGGCGGTATCGCCATAAACCAAACTGAGAAACCTGCACCACCTCCTCCTAAACGACATAAGAAGCAGAAAGAAGACTGCTTAAACGGGCTTGTTGAGGATGTAAGCAGCTTTATAAAAACGCAAACAAATTACACCCACGACAATTACTTGGGAGCTATCGGAGACTTAGTTGAAAAGTTGCCTGAAGATCAGCGGTTGGATTTCGAAAGGGACCTTCTTCAGTACGCCCATTCTAAATTTAAAATTCAGCAGTAAACTAAATAACTATATATAACTTTGTAAATTTGTATATATATATACATATAACATATAATTTTTATATATACTTGCAGACCCGGCGAACTTCGGCCCGCCCAAAATTAATTTTTTTATTGAAACATTTGGTCCAACGTTTTCGCCAGCAATTCACCTTCACGTTCGGTTTTGTTGTCGACAGAAGGCATATCCTCTATTGCCGTCTTAAATATCCTGACGAAAGCGTTATACCGGGAATAAGTCCTTGCGGCTCGATGGTGAATCGTTCTTGAATCTGTATAGTATAGTTGGTGGCAATTGCCAAACTGGTGAGTATCATTGGTCCACATTCTGTTTAGTCACCGTAAAGCAAGCACCGCAATGGTTCTGATGGTTGATTTAATGGGGGTAGTTTGACTTTGATCCCTGGTGCCTCCGAATTGACGATATTGGCAATAACTCGGCTCCAGCGCCACCTTGCGCATCTTTTTTTGCAATATTATTGCCCCTATCGTTACGAATACATATATATCTCAAATATAAGTCAAATAGGATCACAAATACGATTTTGAGTAATAACTCGACTCCAGCGGCACCTGGCGTTTTAAGTTGTGGACTTAAACTGTACAGGGACCTATTCAAACAAATACAAAAACTTCATTAAAATCGTTTCGGTCGTTTAGGAGAACTTCACCCACCAGAATAGGTCTTTTACATACTGACACTCTTCAGCATTTTTTCCAATTCAAAAAAAAAACTATCACGCATTCGTTATACGGAGAAAATGCGCAACATCATCAGCGAAAAAGTTCTCAAAAATCAACGGTAACTTATAGCCATTTAAAACTTGAACTTTAAGATACTGAAATTGAGTGAACTATAAAACTGCATACTCAAAATTAGGTACTATTTGATGCAAAATAAACTATATTTCTATAAAAAATCACCAAAAAAAAATATTATGAAAAAGAAAAAAACACTGTATTCTGGGTGTATATATTTACAGATAGGTAACGCGTCCCTTTCCAGTAGCCCCAAAATCTCTATACCAATTTCGCGGACATTTATATAATTAGTGTAGGTAACACAGGGCAACACCGATTTTGATGCGGCAAATGTTAAATCTGTTTTTGATAGAATGTTTTATGCTGATTACGAATCCGTAAGTATTAAGTTTCCATCAGCTCCATATATTGAGAAAAACGTGGTGAAAGTGTAAAAAAATCGCGTTTTTTGCAATATTTGAGAAACTCTAGCAAGGAAACAAAAGGTGATAGAACCTTCCACTTAGGCTCAAATTAAAGCTAGAACTACAGACTACTACCCCTGAAAATGCTATTCCTGCACCTTGCCCTGATGGTCACCTATACTCAATTACTTTTTATCGTCCAACAATAAAAAAAAATACTGGAAAATTATGCAATTAAAAAAAGTGTGTAAAAATCAGTGTTAGCTGTTCAATAAATGACTATTGGTGACCTTAGGGTCAAGGTGCAGGAATGGTATTTTCAGCGATTGAAGTCAGAAGTCCAAGCCTTAATTTAAGCCTAAGTGGAATGTTCTATCACCTTTTGCTTAATTGCGGTAGGTACCCAAACTTCCCAAAATCAGTTTTTCCTGATCACCAAATGACTATAAGTGACCATCAAGCAAAAGTTCAGGAATTTGCAGGGATAGTAGTCGAGATTTTTAGTTTTAATCCAAGCCGAAGTGGAAGGTTCTACCACCCTTTTTTTCTTTGCTACAGCTTCTCATATATTGCAAAAAACGCGATTTTTTGGCACTTTGACCTCGTTTTTTTTTTTAATCTGGATGATGGAAACTTTATGCTTACGGATTCGTAATCAGCACAAAAAACAAATCTCAAAAACATTGTCAACATTTGCTGCATAAAATTTGTATCAATTTTTTTGGCCTGTGTAATAAGTATTGTTAATTAGCTAATACCCGCATGTTTGCGCGCTTTCAAACACCTTTCGAACTGTAACACAATGACTCAATTTTATTCTACGCATATCTATAATATGGTTATCGAATTTCGACCAAATCGGACCATAAATAGGATTTTTTGGAAGAGATCGGTCCCTGGTCCACCTATTAGGAAAAATTATCGTATATGTATGTTAATCCTGGCAATAAGCTACCTACATGCCAAATTTCAAGGAAGTCGCGCCATAAATACGATTTTTTCCAATAGATCGGTATATGGTCCACCTATCAGAAAAAATATGCTATATGTTAATCCTGGCAATAAGCTACCTACATGCCAAATTTCAAGCAAATCGGACTATAAATAAGACTTTTTCGAATAGATCGGACCCTGGCCCACTTAACGGAAAAAATGGAACCTGTATGCTAATCTAGGCAAAAGGCTACCTACGTACCAAATTTCGAGCAAATCAGATAACTAACTAAGATTTTTTGGAATAGATTGGTCCCTGGTCCACCTATCAGATAAAAGTATCCTATATGTTAATCCAGGCAATAAGCTACCTACGTGCCAAATTTCAAGCAAATCGGACCATAAATAAGACTTTTTCGAATAGATCGGACCCTGGCCCACTTAACGGAAAAAATGGAACCTGTATGCTAATCTAGGCAAAAGGCTACCTACGTACCAAATTTCGAGCAAATCAGATAACTAACTAAGATTTTTTGGAATAGATTGGTCCCTGGTCCACCTATCAGATAAAAGTATCCTATATGTTAATCCAGGCAATAAGCTACCTACGTGCCAAATTTCAAGCAAATCGGACCATAAATAAGACTTTTTGGAATAGATCAGTCCCTTGCCCCCTCAACGAAAAAAAGTTTATCTAATATGCTAATCTAGGCAAAATGCTACCTACGAACCAAATGCATTTTTTTAGCGTAGCTCGACCCTTGCGCCACCTATCGGAAAAAATAAAACTTTGTGCACACCTCCTTCTTAACACCCTTCAAAAAAAGCAGCAACCATTCGAATCGGTTATGAAACAGGAGAAAAATGTTCCCAATTGATTCATGCTCACAATGAATTTCACAATTATCCGAAATTTTCCAAGCTTAGCAACGAATTTTCCAACATTACTTCGTCCAAGATCATCAAATCATGCGATAAAATGCAAAATTTCGTAGAAAAAAATTTAAATTTTTCGTGTTCTTCCGAATTTTGCCGAGTTTTCCACTTAGAATTTTCCTGTTTCCTTTCGAAAGCCATTCCGAAGGAATCGCACACAAAATTCTATAAAAAAAATCAATTTTCGATTTTTCCCATTTTCAGACTTTCCCGGAGGGTTACGCAAAATTTTCTTTCGTAAACACTTTCTGGCAATTACGAACATCTAAAAAAAAATTTAGCCAAATCGGTCCAACCGTTTACAATTAATGAATTACTACAAATTTTGTACACCATTTTTATATATATAGAGATAAGCACGGCGTGAGAGGCATATAAAAAATTTCAATGAAAAAAAAACAATATATTTTTTCTCGGGTTCAAAACTATCATATCTTTTAAGTTGGAACAAACAATACACACCCACAAAACTTCATTGAAATCGGTTAAGCGGTTTCGGAGATTAGCGTAAACGAACACAGTGACACGGGATTTTTATATATATTAAGATAGAATAAATAAGGAACAGCTGTTCGTATACGGCGGCTTCCGACTGAATTTCGAATATCGATTGTCCTCTATAATAACGACACAATTCAAAATTCAAAAAATAAAAACTCGTACTATTGTTAAGTGGCTCATGTCTTTAATCGTTGTCTTATTCATGTATAATCTTTACTTCTTACTTTAGTTAGCATTAGACATGGGTTAGCCAAGGATTAGAAACATGAGCCTCTTAACAGTAATAAGGAATATTTTTTTTTTGAATTGTGAATTGTGTCATTGCAGAGGACCATCGATATGTGACTTCATTTATTTCGATAATGAAATAAATTCGAGCATAAATACGATTTTTAGTTACATATACATATGTAACTCAATTTCAGCGCCACCAGACAGCAAATTTTTTTCGAAAGAATTCTTTTTACTGTTATCAATACATAAAAACGATTTTTAAATAACTCGACTCCAACGCCACCTGGCGGCTCTTTTTTTTGCAATGGTATTGTTTTTCCTATTGTCAATACATGTCTCGAATATGAGGCGAATCGGACCATAAATACGGGTTTTACTAATAACTCGACTACAGCGCCACCTAACGGTTGTTTTAATAGTTATTCTGCTATTCGAAAGGTAGCCAAATTCAAAAAACAAATATCATATAAATCGGTCCAGCCGTTCTTGAGTTATAAATGGTGTAACTAACACGACTTTGTTTTATATATATAGATATATATATATTTACATATATACACATATATATATACAGTGATTCACAGAAGTATTTTGCATTGCTTTTTTTACGATAATCCAAAAGTTTTTCGTGATAAATTTTTTCGTTAATTTTTTATAAAAAATATAGCTCATTCTACAGCAAAAACCATGTACATCAAAATTTCAAACTTATTCGTTATATTGAAGAAATGCTCATCAACGTCAACAAAGAAAATTATAGTTTTTGTTGGAGAATGAGCTATATTTTTTATAAAAAAATAACGAAAAAATGTATCACGAAAAACTTGGAATACCGCAAAAAAAGCAATGCAAAATACTTCTGTGAATCACTGTATATACATATATATACACTTGTGGTCAGCTGACTAAGTCTAGTGTCA